TGAACTCTGTGATTTCTATGGTCTTTATGAGAAGCAAAATTTTACGATTCTACTGTTGAATCTCTATAATAAACTCCTTTTGCTTAAACTACCTCTAATCGTTTTGAATATTTTTTAAAAATCCTATTAATTTTGGAAGCAAATGAGCTGAACACTTGCATTAAAAGGTAAGTACAAGCCGGGCGTGGTGGCACACGCCTTTAATCCCAGCACTTGGGAGGCAGAGGCAGGTGGATCTCTGTGAGTTCAAGGCCAGCCTGGTCTACATAGTGAGTTCCAGGACAGCTGGGGCTACAGGGAGACCCTGTCTCAAAAAGACCAAAAAAAAAAAAAAGTTAAGTACAATTGCTTCTTTTGTAGTTGGCTTCTAATGATACTTGGTACGGTTCAGAAACAGCATGAGAAACAGAGCATGCTACGCTGTTCCTGGAACTCTTCTAGAAGTTGAGGTTCATTTAACACTCACATCACCTTTTCTTTTTTGGTCTTTTGGAAACAAAGTCTCCCTATAGCCCCAGCTGGCCTTAAGCTCACAAAGATCTGCCACCTCTGCCTCCAAGTGCTGGGATTAAAAGCACGTACCACCTCGCCAGCTAAGAACACTCATCTATTAAATGATGGCACAAACACCTGTTCTCAGTGTAAGGCAAGCACTTTTCCTTCTTTAAAAATATTTTTAATTGCATTCATTTATCTGTGTATATGTGCATGCACCACAGGGCTTGTGTGAAGGTCACTGGCCAACTTTCTGGGGCTCTCGCCTTCCACCATGTAGGGTTCCAAATAATGGATTCAGGTAGTCAAACTTGGTGACAAGTGCCTTTACCTGCTGCCTGTTTGAACAAAACAAAAAAAAACACAACCCTTTTGTCATATATATTCACTGTACATGGCATCATGTTACATATGGACATTTTCATATGAGTACATTACATATTGTACACAAGATCTTTTTTTTCTTATAGAATTTTCTAAGACAATAGATTCTGCTGCAACTCTCAAGCTCCTCAAATATACTCCTGAAAGGTGGTCTTCTAGTTCAAGTGGATACATGGAGTAAAACTCCTAATGATTAATGCCTGAGTTCATCCTTTCTACTCCACAGAATTTAGCTGGTCATTCTTTTATTTTTAAAATATTTTAATTTTACGAGTGTATTGTCTGCATGTATGTAAGTTCATCTGTGTCATGCAATGCCTGCAGAGCAGAAGAGGGCATTGGATTCCCCTGGAATTGGTTTAACGGATGGTTGTTAGCTGCCATGTGGGTGCTGAGAATTGAACCAGTATCCTCTGCAAGAGCAGTCAGTGCTCTTAACCACTGAGTTCTCTCTCCAACCCTCATCTTGCTTTTTAAAAGCTTTCCTGGTACATACACAGTATCTTGACTGTGATCAATGTATACGTGTCAACATTTACTTCAATTACTTATTTATGGATAGGGACTCATGTAGTCCAGGCTGCTCTAAACTTGTTATATAGCTGAGGATGACCATGTGTGTTGGAGACCATGCCCTGTTTGAACTCTGCTGAAAACATACTTGGCATAAGTGCAATGTCACAAGCCAAGAATGCCTATGATGGCAAAGTCAAATAGGCATGCATGCAGACATGGTTCTGACGTGGTATCCTTTGTGTTGCACTCTGCACTGTTCTGTGAACATCTGCTTTATATCCTGGAAACAAGCCACATTTTCCTGAGCCACTGCAGAGAAATAGCCTTGTTCCTGAATACCTGCTTAGAGCACCTCATCCACACTAATAAAAACTTTGGGAATTAGAAACTCAGAGCTTTGTTCTTCTGAATGGGAGCCTCCTGGTCCCCAGCTTTCCTTAATATGAAAATGTCTCATGTATCATGACACTGTGCTGTCCCTCTTCTGTATCCACCACCTGAGTGCTGGGATCACAGGTCTACTGGATCATGGAGCTGGTAAAAACCATCAGCAGCTCTCCCCCTCTCTAACGTTGTGTGTGTGTGTGTGTGTATGAGTGCCGGGATCACAGGTCTACTGGATCACGGAGCTGGTAAAAACCATCAGCAGCAGCTCTCCCCCTCTCTAATACTGTGTGTGTGTGTGTGTGTGTGTGTGTGTGTGTGTGTGTGTGTGTGTGTTTTTTTTTTTTGTGAGAGAGAGGGAGAGTCTCATAT